CCATTCCTGCTTGTCTGCGCCCCCTTTCACTCAGTTGAGCACTACGCCACCGAATGACCCTCCTCCTCACCTACACTACCATCCCACTGTATCGGGTGCGCACGAACGCAAACTTAGCACCACCCCTTGGAGCCGCGCAACTTACTCAACGCTAAACTACGCATACTTGCATGGCGTCTTCAGTCGCTCCGCAATGTAGTGGCGGACGTCGGGCACGTTGCCGGCCGGATGCGCCATGGTGGCCTTCCTTCGTCCGAGTTGTCGCATTGTAGTGGGTTCAGGCACAAGCTTATTTTGTGCAGAACCGCGCATGCAATTATAATCTTTGACGCTCGTTGAGGCCCCACTCTCAGTTCTGACGAGAGAATGGGGAAACGCGATTTCAGACGACCGATGGTCATCTCCACAATCGAACGCGGCAATGATTGTGGTTATATCGCTTTTTCCTCACGTCTCTCGGACGGCAGTGGGCCGGAATGGCGTGATTATTCAATGACCGTTGGCGTAACCATTATCACCGAGGGGGCGATAACCGGCGATAATCAAACCACTCCACTGTTGAAGACCGCCGCAGGAATTACGAGGAATTACGCCAAAAAGTGGTATCGTGCACTGATCCGGGGACCCGGTGTTAACGTAGAGGACACGGCCAACAGCGTCTACAATGAAGCAGACGTTGAGGCATGATGTTCCTTTCCTGCTTACGTACTGGTAACCGTCAACAGCCGGAGTCCTTATCCGGACCAGTGTGCCATCCACGGCTCCGATCACATCTATAAGTGATAGTATTATATTGACGTCGCTCATGATGTACACTTGCACTGCTTTCACTACTCACTGGACATCCTCCCGGTCCTTGCAAACTCATTGGATCGGGCCCTGCACCACTGCTCGTCCTCGGGCTTGAACTTTATGAACTGTTGCACGATGTCGGGATGCGCCAAGGCATCCACAACACGAGCAATGATATTGGACACCGTCTTTTGGCAGCATTCCGGCGGTGTCGGCCACTACAATCTGGAACGAGTTAGTGCATAGGCAGCGGATATCTATGCACACCTGGAAGCTTTCGTAATACTCGTCACTGCGCCCATTCAACTAACTCGCTATACCTACCTGCATTCGCCTACTTACAGCCCAAGGCTGCCGGTTCTTGCTCCCTAGAAGGGTGCTCAGCAGCTCCGTAATTCAATCCAGCCGCTCGTCCGTGAACCGGAATCTCTTGACGAATTGGAGATTGATTCATCGACAAGTTCGTTCTAGGATCTTGACGAAAATGACGAACGTTGCTCGTGCGAAAACGGGCCCCGTGGAAGAAATGTGGGGGCATTTCTAGACCATCGTCACAGACTTGATTGGTTGAACCAAAAATAGAAAGATCGCGACAGCGAGAAGCACACTCCTTTCGGCAACACATCCATTATTGTTTATTGTTATTGTTTCGTACGTCAAAAGACATGCCGTCAAACACATGAAGATGGCTCGTAAAGGGAAGGACAAAGTATATAAAGATTAAACTCCACAAAAAGACAAGAAAAGTCCTAAAAAGATGCTAAGGAGGATAAAACCATCATCAAATCATCTTAGAATACTGAGACGCTGAGCATTGCCAATTAGGGACAACGAACTAAAAACTTAGCTCAATACGTGCAGTGCAAGACGAGAGCTAGAGGCTTGCTCCGGAAGGAAACCTGGTAATATTTAAGTGTAGACTCCTGATCCCTTAGGAATGTGCACATATAGACATATCAAATGGCATCACCATAAAGAGCTGATGCTGTTACCCTTGTAGCAAGAAAGCATTAGCCTCAGGTAGGAGCCCACATCAGCCGGCTATGATGCCCTTCGCCACATCCGGGGTCATAGGCACTTGCCAAAACTCCGAGACACGGGTTTACCGGCCACCCACGTGGAATTGGCAAGCTGGGCTAGTACTGAAGCCGGATGCTACTACCAGCAAAGCAAACAGACAACAAACCCGTTGATGATCAGTCTTGAGTATAAAACCAATTAGAAGCGTCGCTATGACCAGTTAGATTGGATTAAACAGTGTAGACCTCGGTTAGCCTTCTGATACTCACTAGCTTGATCGTCAAGCATACACGAAAGGTATAACCGCTACCACGAAGAATTAAATCAGTAAAACGTATAATAGCACACAATAGAAGCATTACTGATAACAGAGAACAGAGAAGCACGACCACGATATTAACAAACAGCCATCGACGCCACATGCGAGGGATAGCATTTGACGACCTCATAATCGACATGCACCAAAATGGCCAAACAAATATCGGTCCGTAGAATCGAAAAGGATGTAACTGAGCACAACGTATCCGAGGATCCATACAACCTTAATTATATACCACACATTAGCTTTTTAACTTTAATGCGCTACTCTACATCTTGTATTCTGAGAATCTCGAGGATGTTGATTTTCCTTAGCTGTGTTCGAAACTGTAATGAGTTCTCACATGAGAGAAGATTATGCGGCAAAAATCGTATCCAACGCGCCACACGGAAAAAGAAGGAATTAAAAACCGTATTAAAACAACATCTTTGAATCTTTCTATAGTGAATAGAATACCCATTTCCACTCCTTCGGTATGGCCTGAATATCCAGTATTTACTGGCTTGCAATTTGACTTCTTTATTGATGATTCGAAAGCCAAAAACCAAATCGTTGAATATCCGCCTATACTTCAAGCTTTTCATACCAGCTGTCGAGCCTGTCTTTGTAAGGTGGAAGAGCCTGAGGGTAATTGGGATTGGGAAAGGATCGATAAAACACGATTCTCGTGAAGACTTTTTGAACTCTCTCTAAACAGTATACATGTTTCTTCAAGAAGGGACTCCATGAAACGGAACCGTATTCTAATTTAGGTAGAATGTAGGTTTTATATAGTTTAACTAGAAGAACAGGATCGTTACTATGAACGTTCCTCAGTATAACAAAAAGAGAATTGAGAGCTTTCCTTGCAACAGTTGTGACGTGGCCATTAAAGGTCAATAAGTTATCAACAAGAAGTCCAAGGTCGTTAACTGAAAATTCCCTCCTTATTGAGACACCCGAAATTTGGTATGCCATTGGTGTACAGGAGCCTAGGTGTAAATGAGTGGTTTTTGCAAGGTTGAGTGGGATATCCCATCTGTTACACCAGTCCAACATCTTCTCTATGGCTAGGCTTAGTATCCTGTGTGCATCGGGTTGTTCATGGCTAGCATAGGCACAGTATATTCTGATATCATCCGCGAACATTTTGACCTTGACACTTGGATGGACCTTGAGAACTTCAGGCAAATCCGCAGTGTACAATATGAATAGCAGAGGGGAAAGGGCCCCGCCTTGGGGAACACCACTGCTGAATGTTCCGTGGTGCAATGTCAGTAATTCAGTCTTATATATCATCCACCGATGAGTTCCAGGTTTGCAGAGAGTGTTCTTCCCTGCTGTGGATGAGAGCTCCATGGCGCACTGCCATGCCTCTACGCCGCCGCTGGCAAGGTACGCGGATCGATACCGCACGGCGTCGGATTTTTGCAAACAGCGTCTCACTGTTATAGGCAACCCTTCATATGTGGCTGATACTACTCCGTGGTGCAGTGGCAACGATAGCAATTCACCCACGCACGGCGCTGGTACGGGTTCGTGGAGGAAGGAAGTTTTGCTTGCGATGTCGCGAAGCTGCGTGTTTCAGAGCTAGCTAACTTCCAACTTTGACAACGCTCCTTGCCGGTGTGATGGCTTTCCTTAACAGCTAGTTTGGGGTAGATTGCTACCGTTCCAGTCAGACCGGGTGGTTTGGGTGAGAAACAACTAACACAACTGGGAGTGACATAATGTGTCCCAACGACAACTTTCCAGTTGTAACAGGCAAATAATTTGGAATTGGTTAGTTCAACACAGTTCATAGACATTCATTCCCCTTCACGATGAGCAATACTGAATACTCGCGTTTGAAGTTTTAGGAGTATTCTGATGTAATGTTAATAGTGTTCCCCACTGTGACAGTTCCATCTAGCATTGGAGAGCTATGCCAGCCACTGACCTTTTGAAAGTCGTCATAACTTCCTTCAGTGCAATTTCAGTTTTGCGAATTTGGACTTGACTGTTATTGACTCATTCAGACAAGATTATAATGTTCCCATCCGGCGCTTCCATATCGTAACCCCACACGCGAAAAATTAGCCGTCAGGTTTGGTGTTAATGGTGCTGGTGCACATGAGGCACTCCACCCCGCGCGCGAATTCGCCTAGCGTGTTTCGGTGTGCGTTGCAATTCTCCTCCTGGCGTGGCATTCCTCAAGTATTGTTAGGTACAAACACGTCGTGTGAACTGGCGATACAATTACTGAACATGCTCACGCCATAAATTTTGCTTGTGGAAGAAGTTGCGTTATTTTTTCTCCAGTTGATGTTATAGATTCTATGATTGAAAAGCTGTGTAGAAGTTAGTCTTAAACGACGTGTTAACCAATACAACGAGGGGGTCGTATTTCGCCGATGGAAGTAGGAGTTGTAAGCTCAAGTACCATCAGAAAATTTGAAGCTACCAGGGCATAGCAATTTGGCGAAGGAGAACAGACTTTGAATAACCATAGCGACTACTATTCACAAACGATTTAGCGGTGCACTCAGGAGCAGGAGATCTTGTTAAATCACTTCATATTCCAGTGAGTACAAGCAAACGAATTCCAGAGGAACTGATGCTTTCGGACAAAACCAAAGCAGGGGAAATGCAACAATTTCGGTGTAGACTTTAGAGTCCTAATCGAAAATTCTGACAGAAGAAAGGTTTCCTTCACAAAGTTTGAGGGGGATCTTGCGTTCACTATTTAGCACCGATCTTTAGATTTCACCTTTCTTTAACGCTTCTTTACCATTTTCCGAAGGAACTCATGGGCGTTTGAAAATGGTAAAGAAGCGGTAAAAAAATTGAAGAGTTGAAAACTCGCGTTTTAGGAAAGTAGCCTAAAAGATTCAATAGAAGGAGAAAAACGGAACGGGAGTAAATTTTGATAGAAACTCTCGTGTGCACAAACAACGGAGCGGAACGATTTTTTGAAAGGTTGAATATTTGCAGAAGGTTTGAAGTTTTGGAAAGCAAATGATCCGTAGCTTTGAACTTTCGTATCTATTTCATAGGACTGCAAATGATGGAAGGTACAATTTTCTGAATAAGGAGTTCGTAACGTACTTCAATGGTCCAGTTTTTTACTGGATGAAAAAGGGAAACATGAAAGTTTGGAGAAAGTTTGGTAGTCTTCTAAGATGAATGTTTTGGATGGCGTTTGCGATTCAAAATTTACCCGAGTCCATGCGAAACGGCCCCAGTTCCTCTGTTCAATAAGTATAAACTTCATGCTGTCTCTATTCCCGTCCTCTGCGTGAGACAAAGCGCGCAACGTACTAGCATTTCCACTGCCCACCTCCTATGTGGATGACGGCCCATATGTCAATGCTGGGTGTGAAATTATGTGAATAGGCATAAATACTGATACCCACTGAAAGGGGGGGGGCTTCGTAACATATCTAGCGGCAGTTTACGTGAGAAGCGCGTATAAGTTACGGCAGAATTCTTGAACAAGTTAGGAACCACCCTGGATGGGAAAGCCGGAGATGCGAAGGTTGCATTTCCCACCTTGACAATCATCAAGTGCAGAGACTTGCTCTCCTTCTACCGAATTCGAACCCCGGACCCTCTCCAAATCCAACGTCCGTCGTGGGTAAGAAGCCACTTGAGGCCCACAGTTTGGTCCCTTCAACGGGTTAGAATATCTGGCCATAAAGGGAATGAATTCCCTTTAGGGCAACCCTAGAGGTAAACCTGAGTGAAAATCCAAGGACTTCGGTATACCAAAGAAGGCAAAGCAGGAAATCGTTTTGCCGTGCCTTACTTACCTCTTTACTTCTTGCACCCAAAACTCACAGGAGGAAACTGCAAAGCATGCCGAAACATGCTAGACAAATTTGCGCGTAGGACAGAGTGCCTTTTGTGCGCCGGCATCATTAGCACTGAACCTGGCGGCTAATTTTTCGCGTGTGGGGTTACGGTATGGAAGCGCGGGAAGGGAACATTATAATCTTGTCTCATTCAGGAGAGCTTCGTAAGCTGTAGGAAG